AAAGTCCCTGTATGGTTCTGTGCTTGCCTGGGACCCACTTCCCCTCAGGATGGACCTGGATGTGCCATGGTTAGGAGCAGCCAAGTCGAAGGATCACAGCCTTCCGGACAGGGAGTCCCTATGATCGGTTCTTTTTTCTCCCAAAGTAACCGCAGAGGCCAAGGCAGTTCGATACAGTTTTTGAATGCATGATGGGTTTTTCTGCTATTTCTTGCCAGGACTGACAGTACGTATCTTGAGATTTCCAATTAGGGAGGATTAGAGATTCACCTTCTTATTCCAGTATGCATCTAGTTTGCTGAAATGGCCTGGCCTGAGGCTTCAGTCCCCTTCTATCTTTGCGCTTCCTTGTATCTCTTCTCAGTTGCAAAAAAGAACACAGGCCATCAAGCCTGGGCTGGTGAATCCCTTAACTAGCACCAGGTGCTGGCCTGGGGCTGGAAGAGACTTTAACACTCTCAAAATACGTTACCACTTAAACCCAGGTCTTTACAGAAATAACCTTTGGACAAATGTCTTCTGAGATGGGCAGGGTCCATGAAGGCCCTCTGTAAATGGCCAAGTTACATAAAATGTTAATTATTGCTCAGGATTGTTGCTGCTTCATTACTGAGAGCTGGAGCACCCTGAGGCCTGTATCACCTTGAGGGTAGGAGTTGCTCCTTGCTAATCCTGAGAGTTAACCACCTGCTGGGAGCCAAACTGATACTAGGTACAATTTGAGTTATGTAGAATAACTGTTATTGTAGTAACTCCCAAAGTAAATATCATTGTAATCCCTATGTTTCAGCTGAGAAAACTGTAGTACAGAAAAGGAACGTGGCCAATGTCATATAAAACAGGGCTACAGCCAGGATTCAAACCCAGGTCTCTGCAGTATACATGTGCTGACCCCTGTTTATCAGCATCACTGCCTATACTCATTTGTTCACCTTAGTATTTGTTCTTGCATGGTCCTTGGCACAGAAGATTCATGACAAATGTCCCTTGCCTTAGGCCTTAACCACCAAAGTTTGGCCTTGGTCATGGCCTAGTCCCTGGTTGGCCCTGAATATATACCCTCAAGGTAACTGCTACTCCCTCCTTTTTTATGCTGAGCCTCAATGTCTGTCCTGGTCCCAGAGAACTCCTATCAGCCGCCCCGTCATAGCTGTTGGGCTTAGCTCCCTGGAGGCTGGCTTCCTATCTGTCCTCCAATGAACCGACTTCTCGGAGACACAGTAGCTTCCTCCTTCATTTGGCACTTGGCACAGTCAGCCTCAGGCTGCTCCTAAAAAGCAAGGGTTTAGCTCCCTTTGGTAATAAGACAGCCCTGACTTTTAGTCCAGGCTCTGACATTGATTCAATGAGAGACCTGGAGGCAATCAGGCGCTAAGCATCAGTTGGCTTAGCTATAAAACTTGGTTTTGTAATGGCCTTATTGCAAGGGCTGAATAAGATCTGGGGTAATGAACTCACATATGTGGCTCACTAGGCACAATAATAAATGGTAGGAATTGTTAGCATTGCAAATGTTCCTTCCACCTCTAACTTATGAATCTCTATCCATTTTCTGTGTCTCCTAGAAAACAAATCTCCTCTGGGAACCAGAACTCTTGGGCCCTTAAATCCTCTATCCTAGCTCATTTCTCTGAATCCAGAGGCTTCTCAGAAGAGCCAGCCATTCAGCCATGCCTCTAGGCTGGGCCCTGTGCCAGTTTCCTGCTCTGGATGTCCAGGTGAATGGGGCACCAATTTCTCACCTCCCTCAAAGGTTCAGAGAGGGACACCTAAAGGGCCCACTCCAGGTTCCTGATCCTAGATAATGTCCCCCTCCCAGAGGACAGACTAGATTAGGGGAGCCCACAGTCCTGGAGTTGGAAGAGGGGCTCTGGCCTTAGTAACAGGGGCTCTAGGAGCAGATGCTTGTGCTCTTGTCCTCCAGGTAGAAATGGCTAGGCTGAGCCAGTAGTGGAGGAGGCTGGGCAGGGGTAAAGAGGTTCACCTTCAGCAGCGCCAGGGAAATAAATGGCTGCCTAGCTCCTGGGTGTGGTAGGCTCTGTTCCTGTCTAGGCTACAGAGGGTCTGCACTTTGGGGTTGTAATTCAGGTTGATGTGTAAGTGATTGGAGAGCAGGGGAAAGAGGATTGAATGCCTCTAATGAGAAGCAGTTCCCCTGCTTGACTGAAGCATGAATCCTAGACTGACAGGACCCCTGGCTAGGGTCTTTCACTCCTGCCTGACCTAGTGGCCAGGCTCCTGCCGGGACCAAGGTTTAAGACTTGAATCTTTGGGTGCCTCACAGGGGCAGAGAAGAGCTTTAGCAAAGGGAGACTGAACACTGCACCTTTCCTACAGTTGGGAGTCCAGGTGAGGCCACTTGCCCTTTGTTGTCACAGGACAGAAGGGCCCAACCAGGCCTCAGGGAAATTAGAGGGCCTACACCGAGGCCTCAGTTCGCCTCTGGAGTCAGGCCAGGGACAGGGGCATCTGGAAACTTGGGGGCTGTGTCCTACGGGTGTGGAGGAGGGGGGAGCATGGCTAATAGGAAGCAGGTGGACGGGCTGCCTGTTCAGCCAGGGGACAGGATGGCTGGGATGGCCAGTCAGTGGGAGGACCTGTCAGCTCGTGATAGCCCTACGGACCAGGCTCCGGGATGCCCATTCATATTCATTATGTGTGAAGTGGGTGGTTGTAAAGTTAGCTTTCTCTTCATTTAGCTGTCACTAGACAGAAAAATATGAGCTGTGGGTGGATGCCCCTGGATGGGAGCCAGTAGCCAGGCCCTGGCCTCCCTGTGCCCTCCCCTCGGCAGTTCCCCCAGCTTGGACTCTCTCCTGGCCTCTGCCCATAGGCTCTGCCTGCCTCTACCACTCTTGCCACCTTGATTTCACACTCAACTTTATTTTCTTTTGTTTTGTGCCCCTTTGGCATCTTTTGCTTGGGCTGCACGTATCCTTTCCTCTCCCTTCCCTCCATCTTTCTTATTCTAAGCTGAGAAAAAAGAATCATACTTTTCTTGATCATCATTCCATCTCTGGCGAAGAAACTGGAACAGAGTGGGGTCTCAACAAATGTTTGCAGAATAAACCTCTCTCTGCAGCTCTCTGACATTCATAGGACAGAAGCTCCCAAACCTTGCTGACTACCCAATGGGTGAAGGAACTTGTAGTACAGTGGTGCGAATCCTACTGTTAGAAATGGGGGCTTATGGCCCAGTTACATTACTGACCGGTGGTTGAAGGTATAGCAAAGAGACTCGTCCATCAACTTTACTAGAGACTTTCTCTCTTGCCTTACTCTGCCCTTCCGATTATTCCTCCCCCACCCCAGGGTCAGGACAGAAAGGAAAGTCACCACCAGAAACTAGGGAAGGGAAGGGAAGAGAGGGCAGGCACTGGCGCCTCTGGGGATGTTTGGCCTCCTCACTGTGACTGTCTTGGTTGGGAAATCTGATCCGATAGAGTACTTGCTCCCTGCTTGGGAATAAGCCTGATACTGATGTGTCTTTGTGTGCTTGGGTTTCTCTGTGCCTGAAAGATGAGGCCTGGGGTGGGGGTGGCTGGGCTGTAGCTGAGACAGAATTCTTCTGAGCAATGTGGTTGTGTTTACTGGGAGGGTGGGAGGGCAAGGCATACTTTTTTCCTGCTTTCCAGGCTCCAGAGATAAGGCAGAAAGTGGGGATGAAGGATAGAATGGGTAATACTCTGAAACCACAAGAAAGAGTTCTGGTTTTTGTCTCTGCCCCACAGCTCAGACGTGCTCCTGGGGCATCTGGGAGAAGTGACTGCCCCACCCCCAGCACATTGGGGTCCCAGCTCACAGGAGGGTAGGGCTCTTAGCAGGCACCCTCTGCTTCTGTTCTTTCCACTGTCAGTTCAGACATTAACTTATTTCAGCCTCTTCATTCCCCTTCTAACCCCCAAATTTCCCTGCTGTCAGAACCTAGCCCTAGAACTGGGCTCTCCCCGCTTGTCTCTCAGCACCAGCTGAAGCCCTAGACACCCTGGACAGGTGACGGGACCGGGGATGGCACACAATGAGCTTGAAGGCCCTGTGGCAGGCCTACCTTCCTCTAGACCAGTAATGGCAAAACTTATAGAGCTTTAAACGATACAAAGAGCCCCGTGGCATGCATGCCATAGGTTCATCACCACTGCCCTAGACTTTGGGAACCTTGCTGGCCTTTTCAAGTGGGCTTTGCCCAGCCTGGACAAAGAGCAGCCTTAAAGTAACCAAGTGCCAAAGCCTTGGGGATAGACAGTTATCTAGTATGAAAAAACACCACCACTTTTATTACTATGCTGGACAGTACTTTTTTTAAACAAAAGTATCTACAAAAATGGGGGTTGGGACCTCAGGGAGACTAAAAAACTCTGATTCTGACCAACATCCAGTATGGTTTCCACAGCAGAGCCCTGGCCTGATCTCATTGAAGTGAATCCAAATACTAGTGGTTGCTGGTGGAATTTCTGCCCACTTGAGGAGCACGTTGGGAGATCCGGCACAGGCCGCCTTAAGGGATGGGTGGGGCAGAGGAGACAGGCCTCCTTCAGGCTGACCTTCACCTTCCGGCCTGTCAGTGCCAGACTCTGGACGTACGCCCCCTGGTGGTGAGGAGGGGGATGCACGGTCTTCCAGGTGGTTATGGAAGACTAGTTTCTACTGTTGCAAAGAGCTTCTCCCAGTTAAATCTTCATCCTCCTCCCATCTTTCTGGGCTTCCTGAACGAGGAGCCAGTTAAGTCATTTCAGCTGGAGAGATGGCCCTGGATTTAAACAAAGTCTTGAGGGAGCAGAAGTGGGTGCCCCTCCCACTATCCCAGCTTGAGTGTTGGACCCAGTTTGTGACAGGAAAAGTCCTGCCCACTTTGGAGCTCCCTTTCTTCCAGGCAGTCCCACATTATTTTAAGAGAAATAACTGTGTAGTAGACTGTTTCCTGCAGGGTGCTGAGGGTCCCAGCTGCTCTCTCAGGCCTCAAATACCATCCAAATGCTCTGGTGTCCAGGCAAGGGTGGACTGGGAGCAACTGAGGACTGAAAAGGAGACAGGCAGCTTAATCTCTGTGTCCACACCGCTTATCACGTGGTCCAGTTCAGCAGGCTAGGTGGCTCCTTGGGCTTCACCCTGAGTGAGACAAGGCTTGGGGACTTGTAGTCGCCATCTGGGGAGGGCTCAAAGCTGTGGCCGCCCAAGGTTGGGGGAAAGCCATGGATGGAGTAGATGCCAGGGTGGGCTGCGGGGGATGCTGGAACCCCCATGAAGCCAGCCACATTCCCATGGGAATGGGGATATGGAGACATGCACGGGGAGGGGATGCCCTCTGGAGACACAAGGCAGGGCCCCCCTGGGCTCCCAGATCCTGGGCTGGGCCACAGGGAGTTCTGCAGCTGAAAAGAGAAGGAAAAAAAAAAAAAGTCCATGAGCCAGTAGCCCTGCCTGTTTTACCTAGCAGCTCTTTTTGTCCTCGAGGCCCCAAAAAGTTTCCAGCAAATTTCTACTTGACCCAGGAATGCATGCTTCTTGTCCTCAATATTGGCACAGAGGAGGCCCTTCCCTCTGCTGTACTTTCTTCTGTGGCTCCTTTGTGTTCAGGCAAGAGTAGGCAAGAGTAGGCAAGAGTCCCAATGTGCAGAGGAAGAAGTGAAGGGATTTGCTCAGGTCACCCAAGGCCCAGATGCTGCTCCAGGTCTCCCTGGGCCAGAGCTAATGTTTTCACTGGTGATTCCCTGGGTCATGCCAAGCCCTAATTCAGGGTGGGGCTGGGGTCTTACCTGGGTGTGGCTATCAGTGCGGGGCAGCACAGAGATGTCATAGGCTGCTGTGAAGGGGTTTCGCCCCTCCTGCATCTTTCCATAACGCTCACGCTTCCGCCACTTGGCTCTGCGGTTCTGGAACCAGACCTGAGGAGGGGTGTTGGGGGGTTTGAGGGTGTTTCAGAGCACCCTGAAGAGTGGGGCCTGCCAGGGAGAGAGCTGATGGTTGTGTCCTCCCACAGGGTGGCAGCTGGCTCCAGGCTAGAGGATTCTGAGCTGCCAGGGCTTATAAATCCACATTGTTCTCAGGGCCAGGGGAGCCTGGGAGAGGCCCAAGCCCAAACCATGTTTGCTGGCCCCATGGGCCCCAGCTACCATTCTCCAGGCTGAGTCACAGTCTCTCTGCTTCCCTAGCTTGGTGTGTCTGGCCAGGGTGTTGTGAGGGGTCTATGGATGTCAGAGGCCCACAGCACTTCTAGGTGGCTCAGTGCCTAGATTTTTGGGGTTCTACTCCCCTTGGCTCTTCTCCTTTTCCAGGCTACCCACCTCGCGTCATGTGAGAAATCATAGACATTCTGTTCATCTCATGGTCCCTTTTAAACCCTTAGTGGCTCTCTGGAGACCTTGGCCCAGAGCCCAGCTCCTTTACAAGGCCCCTTGGGATTGGCCTCTGCCCCCTCCACAGCCTCATGTCCTACCAGGCAACAGTACTCAGTTGTACCCAATAGTTGCCCCCCAAAATCCCACTCTTGCTGTCCTTTGAGACACTCCTCAATTTCGCTCCTTCCTGCCTTTGTTTAGGTTTTTCCTGCTTGAGTTCCCACCTCCCCAGTGCACACATTCAGACTGGGCATCTCCACTGAACATATGTAATACCCTGACCTCTCTCACTAATTCTGTTCCCAGGATCTGATAGGGAATTGCTTCTGTTTGTGGGCTCTTGGCAGGTGGGGATGGCATGTCTGTGTGTTGTGCTTATCCATGTACTTATCTGTGTTTGGGACATGTCCTATACTGTTATATTTATGTGTACTGGTATATACTTTTTTTGGTCCCATCATTTAATGTTTGTAGGTCAGACTCTAAGTTTGATGTTGGTAATATCAAAACAAAAGCAAACACAACTGCTGTTTTCCAGGGATCTAGCTGGAGTCACAACAGAAGAATCTGTGTGTGTGTGTGCGTGTGTGTGTGTGTGTGTGTGTGTATAATCCAGCTATCCTGGCTGTGATGAGATGAGAACCCCCCCCCCGCCAAGGCCCTCCCCATGGTCATTCCTACTCCTACAGATAGGAAAAGGTCCTGACAATTAAGAGGCCGTGAAAATGCCTAGCCTCTCATTCCTAGGTTTCAGAGATGTCAGAGCAGATCTGGCCAAGGTCAAGGAGAGCCATACTGCTCAGCTTTCTGGATTTTTTTTTTTTTTTTTTTTTTTTTTTTCC